AAGTGACATGCAGCAAAGGGCCACAGGCTGGAGTCGAACCCGGGCCGCTGCGGCAACAGCCTTGTACGTGGGGCACCTGCTCTATCCACTAAGCCACCGACGCCCCGATAAGGCAGTCTTCTTAGTTGTAAAACAGGCTGATTACTTTATTTCAAAAGAAACTTACTGCTACTTATTATTCCAGATCTCACATATATATATATATATATATATATATATATATATAACATATACTTTGACACGTTACACGCGATAGGCACATACTCTTCTCATTATGGTCAAAATTGGTTACAATTGAAAACAACCTATAGTGGCAACATATAATGAAAAACAAAATGAGGAAGCACATATTCATGCAAACAAGTTGATTAATGAATCTCAGTTATATTTCTACAACTTCAAACACATAATATGGATAAAATGTATAATTTCACTTCCAACAGACATTTCAGTTTTGTCACACAGAAACATTTGGTAAGAGAGGGGAGGGCATGATTTCCTGGGGTGACAGGAAGGGACAGGATGTGGTGGAAAAAAAGAAGCGTTTCACGACAACTAGTGGGTCGTTCATCACCGCGTTTTGCCCCAAGGCTGGATACTTTAAGATGGCATCTGAAACTTGAGGGATCCCAAGTGACTTTTTACCTCCTTTTTGGCCTAAGGATGGCTGAAAGAAGTTGTTGTCCAGTCAGGGTGATACCAGGGTGAGTCCTAAACATTTGACCCCCCGGTGGTCTGGTGGGTCTTGCTCATTGATAATACTGGTTCAAGGGAAGTCCAGAGAGGCTGTTCTTCTACACTCACCTTTGATCAGCACATCATGGACATTAAAAGAAGCCACCAAAGACTGTCAATCATCTGCAAACTCAAAACTCAACCAACACTGCTGCAAAAATAACAGGTCAGGACTCTGAGATGCAGGACTCCGAGGTGCAGGACTCTGAGATGCAGGACTCCGAGGTACAGGACTCTGAGATGCAGGACTCCGAGGTGCAGGACTCTGAGATGCAGGACTCCGAGGTACAGGACTCTGAGGTGCAGGAGGGCCCACTTTGGAAGAAGCCTGATCCCCTCAGTTATCACGGCCCTTAACAGCAGACCCTGTTGAGTGTAATAACTGTGTGTGTCGCGGTGTTATTCCTGCTGTGTCTATTTATGGTTCAGTTTTATTGTTGGGTTGTCGGGACGTCACACTCGTCGCTGTTGTTGCTGTTGCTGCTGTTGTTGCTGTTGCTGCTGTTGTTGTTGTTGTTGTGTCAAAAAAGTACATTGCTGTGAGGAAGAATTTCCTTTTGGGGACGATAAAAGTCAAATTCAATTCAGTGTCATCTGATTTGCTGATAGGATGATGGGAGTCAACAATGCGAAAACAGCCAGACAACTGATTCAGATATTTGGCAGATCAATCATCGCATCGCTAATCGAAATAGATAATAATGATTAAAAGATAAAAATGCAAAGTACACACACACACGTGTGTATTAATATGCACATAAAGAGCGAAAGCACCGACATAAACAGTTTTTGAAGCAGTGAGATGTTTCCTCTTTTATGTCAGAGCAATGATATATTTTGTCATTGGACCTGTTCAGGTAACTGGGGCCCTCACCTCATCATCGTGCCCACCAGTGTGATGTTAAACTGGGAGATGGAGCTGAAACGCTGGTGTCCTGGGTTTAAAATCCTCACTTACTTTGGCAGCCAGAAGGAGAGGAAGCTAAAGAGACAGGTAATGAGTTCAGTGTCTTCAATTCAAACCTAATTATATTTAGCACAGGTGTGATCTCACTAGTTTTTTCCTCCAATTAACACTTTTTGGTGAAGAATTGTGATTTTCCTGCTTTAAGCGCCTAATGACTTGCTTTTCCTTCCACTACACGTCATGGCTCAGTTGGTTTTCTGAAAAGCACAAATTTAACCGTACTTTTTACCCCCAGGGTTGGACGAAACCTAATGCTTTCCACGTTTGCATCACTTCGTACAAGCTGGTACTGCAGGATCACCAGGCCTTCCGACGTAAGTCTTGGCGGTACCTGATTCTAGATGAGGCACAAAACATCAAGAACTTCAAGTCCCAACGCTGGCAGAGTCTGCTGAACTTCAACAGGTCAGCACAGCTGCGTTTTTTTAAATCCTCAGAAGTATATGGCTCTAAATAAAGAGTCAATGTGGTGTCGCTGCTTCAAACCTACAGAATTAAGGAGAGCCACAAGAAGTCAGCACTGTGGTTTCATCAGCTCTGTAAACATTCTGCGTCCGTGGCACGCCCAGTTGGACCAGCCAGGAATGATTAGTCCTTGTCTTGCGTCCAAGGGTTGTTGATTAAAGCTCAGACATGTTTCAAGACATGCAACACTGCCTCTGCAGACATGAAGGAGCTGTCCAAATTCATCCTAGCTCACTCACTGGGTGTACTTTGTCCCTGACTCTTAAAACATTTGCACTCTGAAAGAAATGTTGGTACAAAGATGAATTTTAGCTGTAAACATGATGTTTTTTACAATCTAAACAGTCTCAGGTTTTAAAGGGATAGTGCACCCAAAAATGTAAATTCAGCCATTATCTACTCACCCATATGCCGAGGGAGGCTCAGGTGAAGTTTTAGAGTCCTCACATCACTTGCAGAGATCCAAGGGGAGAGGAGGTAGCAACACAACTCCACCTAATGGAGGCTGACGGCGCCCCAGATTCAAACGTCCAAAAACACATCATTGAAACCACAAAATATCTCCATACTGCTCGTCCGTAGTGATCCAAGTGTCCTGAAGCCCCGACATAAAAAGTTGTTTGGAAAAACCTCATTTGAACTCTGTTTTTAGCCTCATTGTAGCCTGTAGCTCTGACTGCCTCTCTGGGCACCGAGCTCACTGTCTGCCGCCATTTTGACTTGACCAGGGACTTCACTACAAGCTGATTGGCTGTAGAAACAGGCAATGTCCCTTACGTTCAAAACCAGTCGCTGGCGTTTTGACCAGCTGAGTGTCAGGTGACACCATCAGCCAGCTGGAGTCGAGCTCAGACCAACCAGTTCACACTGTTGCAGCTTTTCTCTGCAGCATTCTTAAACCGTTTCATCTCGTCACAAATCATTGGTCTGACGTGGGCTCAACACTCCTTGATTAAAATATGAAGTCACTTTTAACGAGCACAGCACGGTTTTGTTTAAAGGCTGACAGAGATCAGTTTGTTAAAATTCAGTGAGCAAAGATGGTCGGATATCATTTAGTTGATGGTTTGATCCCCGACAGCTCCGATCTGTATGCTGACGTGTTTCTGAACAACACACTGAAACACAAATAGCTCCATAGGTGTGCAGGGGACAATTATGAGCGTCAGCCAGATGAATCAATCATGTGCGGAGCAAAGGTCAGTTTCATGGATATCAAAACATGTTCAGGTACAAAATAAAGGTAAAGCACTGTCTCATACACACACACACACACACACACACACACACAGATCTCTTACAGATGTCACTAATGCATGCGTGATAGAAGCAGGTGACACTTGAGGCGAGAAAGCAGCTTTGATATAAATAATGTAATTTCCAGATCTGTTTTTCTCATTTTTAATATTTTGTTGCTCCGTTTGTTTCTTCTGACAAACATCATGTGTCCATGTTGTCTAAAAGTACTGTACCCTGATATGATGCATCGCTCTGTGTGTGACATAATAACCCAGTTGACTGAGAGGATCCTGGCTTCAGCAGGAAATCACGCTTGTAGGCGGAAAATCTGAATAGGTGTTATAAGCAAGCATTATGTAGCGAGTAGCTTCGGACAAACTGGTGATGCTCATTGAAAAATAAACTGTCCCGTCTCTGTAGTACTTCAGAGCACATTTAAGGATTCCTCTCCATCTCATCTGTGAGCTGCTGCTTGTCACAAAAAATCAGTGTGCATTCAGCTGCAAAGGACATGACATCATTCAGTATTAACCACGTTTGACTTTGAATGCATCGCCGGAAATACACTACAGTGTTTAACTGTTTATCCACAGGCCTCAGGGTACATGGAGACATGAGAGCACACAGGGTACATGGAGACATGAGAGAGCACACAGGGTACATGGAGACATGAGAGAGCACACAGGGTACATGGAGACATGAGAGAGCATACAGGGTACATGGAGACATGAGAGCACACAGGGTACATGGAGACATGAGAGAGCACACAGGGTACATGGAGACATGAGAGAGCACACAGGGTACATGGAGACATGAGAGAACACAGGGGACATGGAGACATGAGAGAGCACACAGGGGACATGGAAACATGAAAAAGCACTCAAGTGTATATGGGCACTCAGTGACAAGCCCCAGTTTAAAACATCTCAAATCTCTAATGCTAAACCTTGCACTCAAGGGTGATGTAGTCCTATGAGATGTATGTAATTGTCCACACTGATCTCTCCCCATTACAGCCACCGGCGACTGCTGCTGACAGGAACGCCGCTCCAGAACAGCCTGATGGAGCTGTGGTCTCTGATGCACTTCCTCATGCCCCACGTGTTCCAGTCTCACCGTGAGTTCAAAGAGTGGTTCTCCAACCCGCTGACGGGAATGATCGAGGGCAGTCAGGAGTATAACGAGGGCCTGGTCAAGAGGCTCCACAAGGTGCTGAGACCTTTCCTGCTCAGAAGGATCAAGATCGACGTGGAGAAGCAGATGCCCAAAAAATATGAGCATGTGGTGCGCTGCCGCCTCTCCAAGAGACAACGATTTCTCTACGATGACTTCATGGCTCAGGCCTCGTAAGTTACTACACAGTTCTGCTGAATTCAGAGATGGTACACTACACAAAACATTACAATGAAGCCTCCCCAAGAGTTATTCTTAGAGAAAGCACACATTTCCCTGTTTTATATAACTTTATTTAAGGAGTTTTGCATTCATATAAACGTATACAACATGCACACACTGAACTCATACAGACATTGGCCCACATTGTACCCAGCCCCTTATCCCTCCCGCCTCCCCTGGGACAGAGAACAGTGACATTAGGCAAATTATCAAATCATAAATTTAAGAGGTGAAAGGGAAGAAGTTATAGAATAAAGAGAATTGGCTAATTATTATTTTTTAAATAAGAATAAAAAAGTAAAATATTTAAATTTAATGTAAATGATCAATACAGCAATACTGCAACAAATCCTTCTGTCATGACGGTTTTAATGTTAAGTTTTTGTTTTGTGTCAGAGAGGTGTTGATTCAACTTTATTACCTTTTGAAGGATGTAGTTTGTCGTCCTGTTGAGCTGTGTTGCATAATACAGAAAGTTGATTCTGTTTTTTACCGTCACTGAAATGAATGGGGTGGACAACGTCATAGACAGCATTAGTTTTAGCTAGGTGTACCTAATAAATTGGCAACCAAGTGTCCGTATCAAATAAAGACAACTGTTTAAAATCTGTGTTTTCCTTAAATTTATTTTGCGAGACATTGAGGTTCAGAATAATTGATCATTATTCTTTTGGTTTGTAAAATTAAAAACAGTCGCATAGCTTTTTTTTTTACTCATAAGTATTCCCGTGATCAGAACATGTGACACAGTAGGGCCGAGAATGAGCTGTTTGTTCGTTAGCAGTCCTTCTCAGAGCAGCTCCAGGCCGTTCCATTCAAATTATTTACCATTCGCTCAGTTTCCTTTTGAAAATACTATGTAAGCTCCATTGTGGAGCTCACAGTTAGATGCTAACTGCCACCAGCTACTTTTTAAATCTCCTGCTGTGGGTCGCAGGCATAACACATGGTCAAAGCGTCACACCTGCACATGATCCAGTCCTGCTGGGTCTCCCGTTTATACAGACGCCGGCTTCAAGGCGAGAATACTTCCCCGATTCTGCGATTGTACCTTTTTACACAGCACAGCAAGGCGGAATAACAGTGTGAAATTCCCTCCTTGAAGAGACAGTGTAAATGAATACTAATATTTCTTGTATTGTTCACGTTACCAGCTCGCTCTCTCCATTCATCGCTTTCTTTGTTTCTGATTGACAGGACCAGAGAGACGCTGGCCAGCGGTCACTTCATGTCTGTGATTAACATCCTAATGCAGCTCCGCAAAGTGTGCAACCACCCCAACCTGTTCGACCCTCGACCCATCCAGTCTCCCTTCATCACGCAGCCCATTGTTTTCCACACAGCCTCTCTGGTGCAGGACGCCTTGGAGGTCTCTCCTTTGAAGGTCAGCATTACAGACAAACTCACAAAGCTTTGTTGACACGTGTTTACTGATGAAATGAAAAAAAAAAAACAACACACTATGTTTTTGCGTCCTCAGCGCTGCGACCTCTCTATGTTTGACCTTGTTGGTTTGGAGAGCCGTGTGTCCCGGTACCAGGCAGATGTCTTCCTGCCGCGTCACAAGGTCAGCCGGCAACTTATCCAGGAGATCACGGAGTCCCCTGAACCCCCTCCGAGACCTAAACCAGTCCGCATGAAAGTCAACAGGTACGCAGCTGATACTTCAGAGACTTTAATAACCTCGTGTTGTGTCGGTACACTTCCCCCACAGATCATTACATCTGAGTTTGCATCAGTGAACTAGTGGCACATCCTCTCATCTGTAACTGTACTGTGGAGCAGCTCGGGTTAAACGCTTTGCTAAAGGTCACTTCACAGTGTGCTCAGACTGCCATCAGCTCACTTAGCAGCCAACACAAGTGTATCAGGATTATTTATCTTCATCCCACCAAAGTGATGTCTTTTCCTCGAGAAATGCAAAATATAAAGTTCAACACTGTGATTGAGGCTTCGACATGCAGCGCAACACTTGTGTTAACGTTACATTGTTGTATCTGTCAAAGTGTTTGGGCTGATTAACACACACATTCCCTTTCTTTGAATACTGAAATCTGTCCGTATTGAAAAGTACTGAAAAAAGCTTGGTTATATTTTAAGTCCTATTTCTCTATATGCTTATTCTCAGCAAAGTAAAGTATCAACCTATCATTTTGATATTAGAGCTGAATCCCAGGTGTTGTATTGTCCGTGCTCCCAAACCTCCATTTAACATATTAAAAGTTAAAGTAGCTGAACTAGAACTTTGGATAAGCTCTAGTAGGAGTCACTTGAGTGTAAAATGTGTCTTAAGTGTGGTTGTACCAAATAGTTCAAAGCTTTGAAGCGTCCATCCAGGGGCTTCTGCAGGGGGGTTTCTGCAGGGGGGCTTCTGCAGGGGGGGCTTCAGGGTCCAGCATTCACATCTGTTTAGGAGATCGGACTCTGCGGTCACAGAGAAGAAACTTGGATTGGACTCGCACACACTGCCCTTAGAGCCTTAATGTCCCGCTCTGTCGAGTTGATCCATGAGCCAAGGTATTAAAGTCATTGAGTCTTCAGTCAGAGCAGCAGCTCCTGATGTCCTCAGAGGTGGATGGTCCAGGGGGATGTTGTAGGCAATGACCTCAGTTTTCTTGGCATTTAGCCGGAGACCAACCCAGAAAAGTCTCAACAGCAGCATCTATCTTGTCGACAGGGCTTTGCCATTGTTGTTGTGACTCCTCATTGGTTCTGGCGCCCCACTTAAGAATGCTTGACAACAGCGAGACTCCCACACGCAGCGCCGAGTCCCTCTGCAGCGCTCGGTCATTTTATATTTTAACTGAGAAACCGCTGATTTTTGTCTCGATGCCAGACGAAGCACTCGACTTAAACACGGTGTGCTTGGCAGATTCAAAGGTCTGCACCCAGACAGTAAAGAAAGTTGATTTGATTTTAAAAGACTAACTCATGTAATCAGATGAATCACAGCATTAAAAGCTTAATTTGAAAATCTCAGTTGAAGCTTTGAACGTCAAGAATGACATTCAGTACTAAGAATGAGACACGAATATATTAATAACATTTTTGATTGTTTGTGAATGGTTCTCTATTTCAGGATGTTCCAGCCGCCTCCTAAAAGTGATAATCGACCGGTCCTGCTGATGAACAAACCCACCTGCTCTGTGCCGCCTGCAGCACAGACCCCCAAACCTCCTCCAGTGACTGAAGTCACATCAACTCCTGCTCCTGCTCCTGTAGTTCAGCAAGGCACGTGGTGAAGTGGTGAAGGGAGAAAATGATTCATCCCACAAAATCATTTCATATCTTTAATTACTTCTCTTTTTTCCCTTCAGTTGTGTGTTCAGTCGCAACCACGGCCCCTCGCCCAGCCATGCATCCCACCGCTCAAACTGCAGTGAGATCCAGCGCTCCAAAACCAGTGCTGACTGTACGGCCTCCCACTGCTTCCTGCACCGCCGGTATCCCTGCTCATCCAAGTCCAAACCCCAGCAACGTCCTGCCCCAGAGGGTCCTGCTCAGCCCAGATATGCAAGCTAGGTTGCCTTGTAAGTGCACACTGATGTTCAGTTGGTCGTCTCTCAGAACAGATAACGTACTTCCTTTAAAGCTCCACCTTGAATTATCATTGTCAGTTTGAGTTAATATTTTATCAGAACTTTTATTTATTTTGGTGGCCAGTTGAGCTGTGAGAGAAGCCCACACCTTTTTAAATAAACATCATATGCACATGTGCTTCCTCACAACCTTGACTTTGTGGTAAACTGAATGTAACATTGTCTCTAATCCACGTCTTCTATCTGTTCTCCTTCCTAAGCTGGTGAGGTAGTGAGCATAGCCCAGCTCGCCTCCCTGGCAGGACGACCTGTGTCGTCATGTCAGGGCAGTAAACCCGTCACCTTCCAGCTTCAGGGCAACAAGTTGACTCTGTCTGGAGCTCAGATCCACCAAGTCCCAGCAGCGTCTCCACGCCCAGTTCAAGGTTCGTGTTAAACTGCCTCGTACTCCCTGTGGGAGAATAAAGGAGTGTTTTTTTTCTGTCATTTTAAGTTAGTTATGCACTGAAAAGATTTAACACACCAATTTTTAAATGTTCACTTGGTCCTGAGATTTCATTGCAAGAAAATGCCGAAAGACGCTGCAACATGCATCACAACTTTTTACAGAAAGGTGTTAGTAAATTGGGGATTTTAGGCTGCAGCAATCTGAAGACTCAAAAAACAGCATACACATCCAAAAACGATAAATATGGACAGATGGTGCTGGACAGAAGAACAAATACTAAATCACTAAAACAGGTCCGAACACCAGACACTGCTCCTTGTGGAGATTTGAATCATATCACCAACAAGAGGTGAGGTCACAGCAAGCTCCCAAAACACCCATGAAATCCTGGAGGGACGGATTTATATACTGGTAGTTAAAGAGTTAAGTTGTTTTAAAATGGCTCCTAATATGTAATCTGGATATGTTTTGGCTGCACATCAGATGCCAAAATTAAAGGAAAGTTTGTCTTTCAGGTTTCAGCAGAGCTACAGAATACTACCATACTTATTCATACTTACTGTGAAACACGCAGCATTGTACAGTAGCTGCTGCTGCTTCAGGAATAAAATAATTGAGCTCTAAAAGTGAAATGTGTTCGACAAACTAATTCGGTTGATTTTTTTTGTGCCATAATTGTGCAGCTGCATGTTTTCTGTATCAGATCTGGTCTCTTAGTGAAGCACTGATTGTGTAATAATGTGGTGAATGGAGAAAACCTCCCTGATATGATACATTCTGTCTTGCTGCAGGTAATGTGATGCACCTGGTGTCCAGCGGGGTGCAGCACCACCTCATCAGCCAGCCTGCCCAGGTGGCTGTCCAGAGCGCAGCCAACACACATCCTGCAAACACCTCCTCCACTGCTCCACCTGCAAACCGGCTGCCTCACAATGCCTCAGCACAAGGTTTTTAACCCTCCTCTCACTTTCATGTTCTGCCTCTCAACTGACACAGACAGTTATTAAACATTTCATTCAGCCAAATAAATTGTAACTATTGACTTTTGCCTGAAGACAGAAAAATATTTTCAGTGTTTGCCTCCTTCTTATGGACGTTATCGTCTGACTGACACAGCTGATTTATGTGTCCCCAGTGCCCCCCACCATGGTGAGCAGCCCCGGCGTCGTGAAGATTGTTGTGCGTCAGACAGCAGGCAAGGACGGCGGGCCTGTGCCCACCCTGGCTGTGGCCCCTTCCCCTCGTGTTGCTCCTCAGGCATCTCCTTCCCCGCACCCCCACGCCAACACAACCCCTGTCAGAAACACAGCTCCACTGCAAATTGCCCAGCGCACCCCTGGTCCCGCTACCGCCCACTACACCATGGCTCCTCCCGGAAACCCCAGCCCGACCCCGAACCAGCCCCACCCCCCTCGCCCTGTCCTCAAAGTAGTGCAGCCTCCTCCATGGAGCACAGAGCAGCCAGGTGAGAGAACGAGCTCCAGCTATAACTCATAACGCTGTACGCATGCATGACGAGCAGAACTGGGTCAGATCTTTATTTCCTTCCTCCCCAAATGTTCTAATCTACTCAGAGTACCAGACGTGTGCAGCGTGTCGTGTGCGGCGTGTCGTGTGAGACGAAACATGCAGGGAAGTTTAGGCACAGAAAAGTCTCTCGAGGCTAGTTTAGTGTATTTAAAGACATTTTTTAAGACACACATATATATCCTCAGCTTTGAGCAATAATTTGTGTCTGATATGGCTTTATCATAAAAATGTTAAATCACCTGGTAGAAAAGTCTCAACATGAAGTTTGGAAAAATCCCGAATCTATTAGTGGATTTACATAAACTGATGTAACTGGGTTACTTTTGGTTTCCTTCAGTAGGACAGTTTCTGAATGACCATGTAAGCGAAGAACCTAGTTTCCATAATTGGGGCATAGCATCACTCCCTTTGCTCATATACAATTATAAAATAGGTGACGTGTAAGGAATCTCCCCGTCACAGATGACGCACACTGCTATACGCTCTGTGGAGAGAAGCAACATGCAAAAAGGCTTCACTGAAGTCAGGTGACAGTTAATCCTGACACACCAGCTCAGTTAATCTTTAAAGTTTTGGCTCAAGTTTACAACAGAAGTAGCAAATGTAGAAAATATGTCATAAACATAAAATTAAAACCCTAAAATAGCGGCTGGCAACCTGTGCCATCCAAGATATCAAAATACTTACCAAAATAAAAGACACCATACAATGTGTAATAAAATACAAAATACAAGAGATAAAATGTCAAAGATGAATTACAGCACCAAAACTTAATTACCTCAATAATTTGTCGGCAGCTCGTTGCCTCATCGGAGCAGCGGCTCTTTACAGTCTGGACTCTTTTGAATACCTCAGGCTTTTCTCTTTTCATGGAGAAACACAGGCTGTGCTCACCTGTGCAGTTACAAACTGTAAGTGCGATCTACAAAATGTCCCATCTGTTTAAAACCCAACAGTTTTTGTGAATTAGGTTTCAGACCAAACAGTAAACGTACCTGTCACCGTATTACTTCTGCCTTCACTGCTCTTTGATAAGTAAGAGGCAACAAGAGCCGTCCTCATCTGTGCTCGTGTGTATAAAGTCTTTCAGTCACTGGCTACACCTGCCTCACTCTCCAGTATCTGGGGCTCCTTGGCTGAATGATGATGATTTCTCTGCCATGTGCGTGACAAGAGACTGCAGACAGGCAAAATAATCAGGTCGTTACATGGATCAAAGTCTAACTAACACAAAATGCCCCCGAAATGTTTAAATAAATCTGTTTTCAGACCAAACAGCATCTTTTACCCAGTGGTGTAGTGGTAGTTGAACTACTGGGTAGATAGGTAGGTTACCGATGAGGAAGTGGGCGTACTCTCCTATGTATTACAATGGCTGTTTAGGTGATAGGTGGGTCTACTGTCACTGGATAGAAAAAGAAGTGGGTATATCTGAGCATATCTGAGTGTACCCTCACTACACCACTGCTTCTACCACTAATACAGTTACAGGAAGTAAGAAGATTAAGATCTGGTGTCAGGGAGAAATCTTGTTACTGACCTGCTGCATGTTTACAAATATTTGGAGTCACCAGGTTATTATTATTATTCTCCAGGTCACCTTCTGTCTCTCAGTAACACTGTTAGCTGCACGTTAAAGCACTGTATGAATATGCATATATATGAATATGCAAATACATCCCTTCATTAGCTGGTCCTTTGTACTGCACAGCAGTTCTTTACAACACTCTGTTTCTCCTCTGTCCTCCTCTCAGCTCCAGCTCAGGTCACCTCTTCATCCTCTGTGTCCAAGTCTTCATCAGCACCACGTGACGGCAGCAGCAGTCAGACACCAGTTAGCACCAAGTCCAGGTCCAGTACAGGAGCCAAAGCCTTCCCTCCTCCCAGGAGAGTGCCGCGTCCACCTCCTCGCTCGCCCTTTCACATGGTAAGAAAGTTCTGCCTCCTGTAACTGAGCATCTACCTTTAGTTACATTCTTACCTCTTTAGTTACATTCTTACCTTTAGCTACATTCTTACATCTTTAGTTACATTCTTACATCTGTAGTTACATTTTTATCTTTAGTTACATTCTTACATCTTTAGTTACATTCTTACATCTTTAGTTACATTCTTACTTTTAGTTACATTCTTACATCTTTAGTTACATTCTTCCAACTTTAGTTACATTCTTACCTTTAGTTACATTCTTCCATCTTTAGTTACATTCTTACCTTTAGTTACATTCTTACATTTTTAGTTACATTCTTACATCTTTAGTTACATTCTTCCATCTTTAGTTACACTCTTACCTTTAGTTACATTCTTCCATCTTTAGTTACATTCTTCCATCTTTAGTTACACTCTTACCTTTAGTTACATTCTTCCATCTTTAGTTACATTCTTACATCTTTAGTTACACTCTTACCTTTAGTTACATTCTTACATCTTTAGTTACATTCTTACATCTTTAGTTACACTCTTACCTTTAGTTACATTCTTACATCTTTAGTTACATTCTTACATCTTTAGTTACATTCTTACCTTTAGTTACATTCTTACATCTTTAGTTACATTCTTACATCTTTAGTTACATTCTTACCTTTAGTTACATTCTTACATCTTTAGTTACATTCTTACATCTTTAGTTACATTCTTACCTTTAGTTACATTCTTACATCTTTAGTTACATTCTTACATCTTTAGTTACATTCTTACCTTTAGTTACATTCTTACATCTTTAGTTACATTCTTACATCTTTAGTTACATTCTTACCTTTAGTTACATTCTTACATCTTTAGTTACATTCTTACATCTTTAGTTACATTCTTACCTTTAGTTACATTCTTACATCTTTAGTTACATTCTTACATCTTTAGTTACATTCTTACCTTTAGTTACATTCTTACATCTTTAGTTACATTCTTACATCTTTAGTTACATTCTTACCTTTAGTTACATTCTTACATCTTTAGTTACATTCTTACATCTTTAGTTACATTCTTACCTTTAGTTACATTCTTACATCTTTAGTTACATTCTTACATCTTTAGTTACATTCTTACCTTTAGTTACATTCTTACATCTTTAGTTACATTCTTACATCTTTAGTTACATTCTTACATTTAGTTACATTCTTACATCTTTAGTTACATTCTTACATCTTTAGTTACATTCTTACTTTTAGTTACATTCTTACATCTTTAGTTACATTCTTACATCTTTAGTTACATTCTTACATCTTTAGTTACATTCTTACATCTTTAGTTACATTCTTACATCTTTAGTTACATTCTTACATCTTTAGTTACATTCTTACATCTTTAGTTACATTCTTACATCTTTAGTTACATTCTTACATCTTTAGTTACATTCTTACATCTTTAGTTACATTCTTACATCTTTAGTTACATTCTTACATCTTTAGTTACATTCTTACATCTTTAGTTACATTCTTACATCTTTAGTTACATTCTTACATCTTTAGTTACATTCTTACATCTTTAGTTACATTCTTACATCTTTAGTTACATTCTTACATCTTTAGTTACACTCTTACCTCTTTAGTTACACTCTTACATCTTTAGTTACACTCTTACATCTTTAGTTACACTCTTACATCTTTAGTTACATTCTTCCATCTTTAAGGTGATTTGTCTCATCACACATTTGAACAGATGCAAGATATATGAAGTTTTGTTTTAGCATCTTGTGTTTCAGCTCTTCACTTTGCTAACGTTCACCCTCTCACTCAACAGTCATGGCTGGCAGACAGCCTCAAACAGCAGCGCGACAGCCGACTGGACTTCATCATTCGAGTCAACGAGAACCACTGTGCAGCAAAGCCCGTGTACGGCAGAGAGGTTTTGGACTTCCTGACTTTCCTCCCTGGTCCCCGTCCCTCGCCGGCCGCCCTGAGCGCTCAGGAGGAGTGGGGCCGCTCGGGCCACAGCAGCGCTCTCTACGCACAGCAGCACAACAAATACAACTTCTGGTTTCAGAGTCACGCTGTGAGAGAAGCCATCCACAGCATCGAAGACAGGCTGGAGCTGCTCAATGACATCATAGACAGGTAGAGAACTCAGCAGTCGATTGGCTGTCCTGCACGATACTTTTCAAGAGCTTCAACTAAGAGGAAAGATCTGTGACCTAACTGTAATATACTGTGACTTACCTGTAATTTACTGTGCCCACTTTAGGTTTACGTTTGCCATTCCTCCAGTGGAGGCTCCTCCCATCTCCATGCACTGCTGCCACCCTCCTCCGTCTCTGAGCCACAAGCAGGCCGTCTTCTCCACCTTGTTGTCATCTCAGGTCGCTCCACTCACGGGCAGCCTCCATCGTATCCAGTGTTACATGAGGACCCAGTTCCCAGACCTGAGACTCATACAGTATGACTGTGGTAAGATGTCAACATGAGTGTTGAAGCTCGCTGTTGTCAACTTGTTATTATTCAACTAGAAAATATTCTTCTTAAATCAAAATGTTCCTGCTCGTAAAGGTCCAGTGTGCAGGCTTTAGGGGCATCTGTTGGCAGACATGGAAAATAATAATCATGTCTATGTTTATATTTGTGTAAAATCACTCTTGTGTTTTTGTTCCCATTTATATCTACATACGTAGCAGGGTCTCTTCCATGGAGTGTGCCATGTTGTTTCTACAGTAGCCCAGAATGGACAAACCAGACATCGGCTCTATATCTGGCCATTTAGGTTTTTCCATCTGCTTCACCACAGTACTTCTCCTACATGCTGCGCACATGGGAGAAGTTTCAGCTGAATCCTGAACACTAGACATTTGAGCAGCTCTTCCAGGAGACAAGGCTAACTGTTAGCATCACACAGCTAATGTTACCCAATGGTTATTAAATGGATTTAATGACAGAGTCGAGTTGTAGATTGTTGGGACCGTTTAACTGTTCGCTGTTTCTTATTTACACTAAAGCAAAGAGCACAGTCTGCTGTAACTGATGCCGGATGGTTGGACACAGTTTGGGTTTCGGGAAGCCGATCAGTGGGGCGTCCAGTTCAAAGACCTTTCTGAGCAGAGTTTCACAAAGCACTAAAAGACGCACTTTAGTACTACATGTTATTTTTTAGGAATTGTTGATTTGCAGGGTGCAAGGTGTCCCGATGAGTGTGTGTTTGTGTGTGTGTGTGTGTGTGTGTGTTTGGTATCTTTAAAATCCACTTGAGAGAAAGCGCTCACGAAGCAGGGTTGATAATTAGCACCAGACAAATGCAAAGCGGCTTCTAGATTTTCTTCACTCACCAGACACAAAAACACCAACAACAATTTAACGAGTAGATTTGGGGATTCACCAGCTACAGTGACAGACAGGGGACAAAAAGGTTAATTTCCAACCGTGTCATAAGGCACTGGTCATTTCCTGAACCCCCCAAAACACTGGAGTGGATAGATGAATGAAATTTAAGTTACTTTGTCCTCTTCATCTTAAGAAAAACATTTTTATTAAATTCTGGAGCAGCTGGTTTAACTGTGTCGGGCCCTGACGGACAGACAGACGGACGTACAGACAGACAGACTCTGTGGAGCTATCTGTTCACTAACTTTGTCATTTTCTTCTATTTTAGCAAAGCTTGATGATTTGTATTATATTTTTTCTCAAGTCTCCCCTGAACACATTTTATCTCCCTAAATGTTCTAAGTTCTTGAATTTTGAAGAACCATCTCTGGATTGCAGAGGTGATAAAAAATAAGAAAGAATTAAAAATGAATACTAGTACCTGATATAGCGTGTCCCATACCTCATGATGTGTTCTGCCTGATTAATATTCTCTGCTGTTGGTGAAATAAATCATCTGTATTCCCCATGTGTGCAGGTAAGCTGCAGACTCTCCACACTTTGCTGCGTAAGCTGAAGACAGGAGGCCACAGAGTGCTGATCTTCACTCAGATGACGCGTATGTTGGACGTGTTGGAGCAGTTCCTCAACTACCACGGACACATCTACCTCCGTCTGGATGGCAGCACGCGTGTGGAGCAGAGACAGGTCAGCGCTGACCGTGTTTTCAAATAACCACGCATGAAAATAGATTTTTAACTGCCTCCTCCAGATTACAGCAGAATATTTAATGTTTGTTTTCTGTGCGTCGTCTTGCTTCTCCTTCAGGCCCTCATGGAGCGCTTCAACGCAGATCGACGTATTTTCTGCTTCATTTTGTCAACTCGCAGCGGAGGTGTAGGCGTGAACCTGACGGGAGCCGACACAGTGGTGTTCTACGACAGCGACTGGAACCCCACCATGGATGCCCAGGCGCAGGACCGCTGCCACAGAATCGGCCAGACCAGAGACGTCCACATCTACAGGTGACGGCTTTTAACTGTTTAGAGTTCACAGGTGTACAGCTGCAACATCTCTTTAAATTCTTGTCACACACGGTCTGTTTAAGGCGGCAGCTTCATTTTCGTTTTGACCTTTACATGCTCGATTAAAGCAGGAAGTATCAAGTGATCGTCAGCAGACAGTAAAGTGTTCAGATTCTGTGGTCAGTAAAAGGAACAGAGACTTCTGCCTTCAAGAAAAGTAATTCTACTTTCAAGAGTCCCCACACTCCCATTTTCCTCGAGGGCAGATGGCGACGTCACACATCAAGCCTTAGTGCTCAGATCAGATTTAATGCTCAGATCAGATACTGCTTTTTTTTTTAAATGTGGCAGTATCAGAGTGTGAAGTGGTCTCGGTCCTGAACTGACCCACATGGGCTACAGAACAAACAGCACTCTATCGTATGAAGTAAACACACACAGGCCACTGGATTCAGTGTTTAGTTTCATTTATAAGTTGATGTGCAGTGGAAGACAGCGAATGTGTGAGCAGATGATAATCAGGACGAAGCAATGGTCGCTACTTCTGTACGAAGGTGTGTGTGGACGTTGAGTCGGAGCCAGCAGAGGTGGAACTGTGACAGAAATGACTCGGTTGAAACAGATTTCATCCAAAATTTCAGGATGTCAGAGGCACTTATAACGACGTGACAGCTGGACTCTCGCCAGTGCAGCATTGTGACAAGTCACTCTAGAGCAGTGGTTCCCAAATGGTGGGTCGCAGTCCAAAAGTCGGTCATGGGCCGGTTCTGAACGGACCACAAGTGACTTGCAAACGTGTCAAGTTAGTAAACAAAAAAAAAATACTCTAGATTTATATAATTACAGTGAATTTCCGGCACAGAGCTTTTATTTTGAAGTGCTGTTTCCTGCTGTAGGGTGAGAGACTAACAGACATACGTCCTAATGCAAGTATGATGCTGAATGTATTAAACTGTGGGACCTCAAAGTAATGATGAAGGAGAAATCTGCACCAGTTGGGAACCACTGATCGAGAGTGACGTAAAAATGTCGCTCAATTTCTGATATGACTGTTGAGGCTGAGGTCATGACCTGTGTCTGAGTCAGGAGCACACAGGACAGGTGTCCAAAGATCAGGTTCAATTTGTGCTGTTCACACGAAAAACAGATCTGAGTCACAATCGGCAAAAACAAATCAGATTTGTGTCTGAAGTGAGGTCTGAGTGTTGCCTAACGCCAAGCACAGGTAATGAACTTAACAAATATGTTTCCATGTGGGTGTGGCCTGAGTGATGACTCTGATCCATCTGTGTGTGCCAGTCAGCATGTTAATAGTCCCTCAAGCACAACACCAGCCCTACCTGATGTCCACCCAAACAGAGTGAAGTCACAATGTGACAGCACGAACAGCTGACGAGGAAACAACAGGACTGTAGACAGATGTTGTTCGACAGGAAAGAGGAGGAGGAAATGTCATCTGATAAACCTGTCGATCAGTAGCTGTGGTGTTTATATGCCGTGGCGTTTAAAGGCCGTGGCGTTTTAAGGCCGTGGCGTTTAAAGGCCGTGGCGTTTATATGCCGTGGTGTTTATATGCCGTGGCGTTTTAAGGCCGTGGNTGTGGGGTGTAACACACACACTTTGGTTCTGGATAGATGATGAGAGAATACCTAAGGGGCATTATTAACAAACAAAATGAGCGACAAACACAACTCGATGCTTTTTTCTGTGGCCATGTCTACGACCTTACTGACATCTTACTTTGCATCATGTTGTATTTTATAAATCTATTTTATTCTTCCTTTTTGGTGAGATACCACGAAAAGCCCTCTCTGGGTTTCTGCCTCACCTGTTTCTGTTTTACCTTTTCTGTTTCTTTTTATATCTAAATGTGTAAATAAACTTAACTTTAACTGAACTGTATGATCGTCCTGCCATGAAGGGGTTGAACGTAAAAATTGCAAAGCGATTTTGGTTGAATAACTGAATGGACCACAGATAATATATTTTGAAAAACAAGTCATTGGCCGCTTAAAATCCGTCCTGGGGCCATGATTGGCCTCTGGGCGGGACTTTGGATGTGTCTGTTGGAAGGTTACGGCAGACGAAGCTGCTCCGGTGCTCTTTGGGCGTGCTCCTTTAAAGGGATAGTGCACCCAAAAATGTAAATTCAGCCATTATCTACTCACCCATATGCCGAGGGAGGCTCAGGTGAAGTTTTAGAGTCCTCACATCACTTGTGAAGATCCAAGGGGAGAGGAGGTAGCAACACAACTCCACCTAATGGAGGCTGACGGCGCCCCAGATTCAAACGTCCAAAAACACATCATTGAAACCACAAAATATCTCCATACTGCTCGTCCGTAGTGATCCAAGTGTCGGGGCTTCAGGACACTTGCATCACTAGGGTTGTGTTAGTTTATCTCTAGTTTTCTTTGTGTGCAGAAACACAGGCTATGCCCTCCTCCCCTTTCATTCAGCGTATTAACATCTACCTTTTTAAGTAGCACCACTTGTGCTGTTTGAAGTGCGCCGATGTTTTCCTGTGAATGCAGTGAATAAATGACTCCATCAGCATCACTGCTCTGTTTGAGCCTGTTAATGTCGAGACAGATCAAGTGCCTCCTTTTTCATTTTCCTTTAAGTACAGAGGACTGTTTTCCTTTCAGCTCAATATGACTCATTTTCAATATGTTCCTCAGCAAACCATCCGAGAGCTCTTTGATATGAACGACGGGGAGAGGAGGGAGGTGGCAGTGGAGCTCTCAGTGCCCCAGGCTGAGGAGGAGGAGGCTGTCAACAAACAGAGCACCACCATTCTGGAGCAGGTTAGATGCATCACATTTATTCTGTGGAGGACGGAACCTGTCACTATCAAAAATCAATCAATCAGTGACTTGATAAATAAATTAATATGGCATTAAATGCACCAAACATAATTTTAAAAATAAATGTAGACATAAATTGATAAAGACTAATTTGCTTCTTTGTTTATTTGTATTAATTCCCCTCATTATTTATTTACTTACCCACTTAATTTTCTCATTTATTTATTTTTATTATTTTTTTATTACATTTTATTAATTTTTATTAAATGTAAACATTTATTTTTTTTTTAAATATTGTATTTATTTTCAATTTATTTTAAAATGTATTTATTTGTGTAATATGTTACCTTTGCATTTTCCCAGGTATTTATTTACCCAAACTTGTTTATTTAATTGTTTTATTTTCTTTATACATTTTTTTTATTAATATCCCAGAAAAGGTAAAATATCAAAATTATTAATGACTGCTGTATTTTTTGGACTGATGTTGAATTTCCAAACTGATCAACCTCATCCTGGATCAATGTGTCAAACATATCAAACAATCAATGCTTTTCTAACACGTATGGTTGTGTACCAATGATCTCTCACAGGCCCTGTGTCGTGCCGAGGATGAGGAGGACATAGTTGCTGCCTCTCAGGCCAAAGCGGAGCAGGTGGCAGAACTGGCGGAGTTCAATGAGAACATACCACTGGATGATGGAGGGGAACAGGAGGAGGTGGAGGAGCTCTCCAAGGCCGAGCAGGAGATCGCTGCTCTGGTGGAGCAGGTGAGTAATCAGCAGCACATTAGTTTGAGCTCATTTGGATTTTACATCTGTCAGATAAAAACTAAATGTAATACTGTTTATATCCAAAACTAATCAAATGAATCTCTGTGACAGTGAAGACGGGGGTATATCTGCTGTATAGATTCATTATATGTATATATATATATATATATACTCACCGTATGCTCTGCCTATCTGCAGCTCACTCCAATTGAACGCTACGCCATGAACTTCCTGGAAGCCTCACTAGAAGACGTGTGCAAAGAGGAGTTGAAGCAGGCTGAGGTAACGCCACATTTTTTGATCCTGTTGTTTTAAAGTAAATATTGTTTATCCTTACACTGTATCTGCCTGTGTACATATATATAATATCCTTTATATTTATATTGTTGACATTACGACTGTGCAGCGTTAGTACTTACTGTGGAATAATATTTATATATTTATGTATAGTATTAAAATACTCCACACCGTGGAGCAGAGATGGACGCCAAATTGCATTTTCCAAGTCCATGGGTCTTATTAAACCAAAACTCAATTTGAAATAATGTTTAAGTCTCCCAGTCGCATCTCTGATAATTAATGACATGCAGTTTGGGGCTGCGGCGTGTGAAGAACCTAATCTGAAGCTTAAATCTGCTAAATGCTGACTAAATCTAAATGTGTTACATTTCTAATCGCTTGTCATGTTTAACTTGTTTCAAAGGCATCTGTGTATTGTGAACGTAACAGAGCACAGTGCGAAATAAAACTAATTTCTAATAATGACAAGCAACATGTATGTGCAGTATCGTACTTACACAAACACTACGAGCAGTCAGAGGAACAGCTGTAGATTTTGTTTGTACCTGCGAACAGATCGGAGCGACTAACATATTGATGAATGCCAAAATACATGTAAATTTCCTTCTGCGAACAGTTTACACACAAACTAGTTCAGCTCACGTCTCATGAATGAGACCTTGTGTGTTTATAGTTAAATACATCTTATATGTATTGCTGTTATTTGCTTTTGACTCTTGAGCTGCTACAACCTGTGAACTTCCTCGATGTGGAACTGATAAAGTCTGCATCTTATTTGTCCTGTGTCTGTTTAGGAACAAGTGGAGGCTGCCAGGAAGGGCCTGGACCAAGCCAAGGAGGAGGGCCTTAAGCTTCATGCTTCATCCGATGATGACGAGGATGACTTTTTGTCACCGCCAGCCTCTGTGGAGCCTGCTCAGCCAGCCCGCCGTGGCCGTAAACCTAAGGACAAGGACAAGATTGTCACCTCGACAAGGACCAGCGGTCGACTGCGTGGGGCCTCACCTGAAACGGAACCTGAGCCCACAACCCCTAGAGAAGTGCCTGAAAGACTCCGCTGCGGTCTGAGAGGACGAGGAGCTGCCAAAGACACTGGTACTGTGTCTACCACCCCGTCCCGCACAGACCATCACAAAACCTCCTCGTCAACCAGGCTTCAAGATTCCTCCAAGTCGTCAAAAGCCTCATCTCCTGCCAGAGATCACCAGACCATCAAAACCAGGACTCTGCCAAACCGCTCCCATCCCAGTCCAGTGCCTTCCCCTCCTACGACCTCTCCCCCTGGAGGGAAACAACAGTGTGTTGGGGAGACCGACAGCAAGACCTCCAAAGCCTGCAAAGAGGAGAAGGAAGGGGAGAAGGAGAGGAGGGTGTCTGAGTCTTCGCTAGAATCCAGCTGCCCGGCGGACCATCAGGCAAAAGATGATGACACCAAAGACCACAGCGCCATGTCTCCCCCCTCCACCAGCTCCAGATCACCTCGCAAGCGTCAGTCAGCAGATGGTGAAGTCCTGCGGGGCCTGGTTGAAGACTCTCCATCGGCCAAAGTCCTGCGAAAACTTCCAGGGAGGTTGGTCACCGTGGTGGAAGAGAAAGAGCCAAGGAGGAGGAGGCGAAGAGGAAGCGGCACCGGAGGTGGAACTTCTTCAGAGGAGGCCACCGTGGAGGAGAACACTGCTGGATTCGTTGATGAACCAAACAAAGACAACACGTCACTGAGCCCTGACAGCAAAACAAAAGGGACCGTTACCAAATCTCCTCAGGACCAAGACTCTACTCCTAGTCCGTCTGTGCACCCACCGCCTGTCAGAAGTTATCCTCCATATTCCCCGTCCCATCTTTCTCCTGACATGCCTGTGCTGAGAAATCTTCCCGTGCGGCGCAGGCTGGAAACTGAATCTCGCATGGCTGCTCAGCTGGGAGAACAACAGCAGCATCTGGGTCGGGGAAGGGGAGGAAACCAGTCCAGAAAAACAGACGTACAACCAGGCAAAGATGCCACTGCAACTTCCACAGACTCCAGTGTGAACTCTGTTGTGGCACCTTTGAAGAGAAAGAGGGGCCGGCCCCCTAAGACTCCCCCAAGGTTACCAGAGTCTGACAGCACAGTGACCCCTTCTTCACAGCCCACCTCGCCAAGTGAGGAAGGGAATCCTCCTCTTTCCCCGAAACGTAAGAGAGGTCGCCCTCGCAAAGACTCCACAACTGCACCAGAGACTGTCAGTGAAGGACATAACTCTAAAAATGAGACCACAACTACTGGTGTATCTGGTATATCCAAAACTGATGCTAGCACAGAGCCAACTGTCTCACCTCCCCATAAGTCAGAGACCCCTATAGCTGCTGTTGTCACTACAAGTTACGCCTCCCAGTCTACCAAAGCTGAGGGAACAGAAACCAAGAGTGAGGTTACATCCCCTTCTCCAAATCCAGCTAAAGCCCCCACAGCAACATCAACAACAGATAAAGCTTCCACACCAGTTGCAGCTTCAGTGCAAGTACCCACTACACCTGCACCCTTTCCTGTGGTTGCCTCCACGTCAGCTTCAGCCCAATTCATTAGCTCAGCTCCAGCTCCAGTTTCAAGCCCAGACACAGCAGCAACCCACGTGTCCCCCGCATCCTCTGTCCCACTTTCCACGTCTACCACCATCCCAGTTACTGCTACCCCCACTACCACGGCTCCACTGCCACCTGCTAGCACCATCACATCAACTCTTCCAGGTATAAAACCAACACTTGTGGTTTCCACTGCTTCTAAAGCTCCCATAGAGCCAAAACCTTCAGTTTCTACAACTGTGAAAACAACAGGACCAGACTCTGCCAAAACCGCCACAGTTGCCACTCCAGCTGCTGCCACCCCATCGACTGTGTCATCTCCTGCCACGGCTGTCAAAGCAGTTCCCACATCAGTCGCTGCTGCAACAATCACAACAGCCGCTAACGTAGTATCAAAAACAGTCAGCGTTACACCAGCAGTCACCACTACAGCAAAATCAGTCGCAACAAAAAGTACAACTGTGAAGGAATTGAAGCAAGTTACTGCTTTGTCATCTACGACATCTTCCCCAGCTGGTGTAACTTCCACCCCAGCTACCATAACCTCCACCTCAGCTGCTGTAACTTCCCTCCCAGCTACCATAACCTCCGCCTCAGCTGCTGTAACTTCCCTCCCAGCTACCATAACCGCCGCCTCAGCTGGTGTAACTTCCCTCCCAGCTACCATAACTGCCGCCTCAACTGGTGTAACTTCCCTCCCAGCTACCATAACTGCCGCCTCAGCTGCTGTAACTTCCCTCCCAGCTACCATAACCTCCGCCTCAGCTGGTGTAACTTCCACCCCAGCTACCATAACCTCCACCTCAGCTGCTGTAAGTTCCACCCCAGCTACCATAACCTCTGCTCCAGCTACCATAACCTCTTCGTAGGCTAATGTAACCTCCGCTCCAGCTACCATAACCTCCAGCTTGACTACCATAACCTCCGCCTCAGTTACTGTAACCTCTGCTCCAGCAACCGTAACCTCTGCCCGAACTTCCACACAGAAGGTTTCAACTACAGTTGCAACCCCGGCAACAGCTTCCCCAAAACCAACCTCAGCATCCTCCTCCGCTACAGCAACAACCGTGACAGCAACAGTAAAAACATTCCAAGCTCGTCCATCAAACTCAACAAGTCCAAGCACAGCTCCCACTGCAACTCCAACCATGTCTTCTTCTACAACTCCATCAGTAACAACAGTCTCATCTGCTGCAAATACAGCTCCATCTTCTCCAGCGCAAGCAAGGACTAATGCAACAGCTACCAAAGTCCCTACCAAACCAGTCTCAACTTCACAGCCACCAACAACAACAGGTCCAGTGTCTAAACAGGCAACAGCTGTCCCAGTGGTTGGCACATCCTCTGCAAAACCTCCTGCTATACCAACCCCAACCTGCACTCCTTCCCCAACCACAGTGTCTGCCAGTGTAACTATCACAGCCAAGTCTAAGACAGTTACAGTAACTTCATCAGCCCCAAGTCCAAGTAAAGTAGTCCAAGTAAAAACCCCTGTAGCAGTAGCCCCCTCCAAAGAACACTCAACGCCATCCACCCCTGCAACAACTGCAGAAAAGACTGTCAAGATCCCACCTCCTGTTACAACTTCCACAGGTGCTACACCAGCTCCAGTACCAACAGTCACCACAGCTACATCATCCTCAGAAAAGTCTAGTACAGCTGCTACCACAAACATTGTCATGACTACCCAAGCATCCACTACCACAGCTGCCACGACCAGAACAGCTCCCCTTGTGTCCACCACGCAAACATCTGCAGTAACTTCCCTGCAAGTACAAAGCTTGGATGTGTCCACACCAACCAAGACGGAGGCCCCACCCCAGGTAGCTACATCTGCTTCCTCCAGTGTTTCATCTGATAAACAATCTTCAGAGCTGACGCAGAAAGTGTCCAAGAGTGATCCAGACAGGGAGACAGAAATGGAGGTAGACACAGTGGAGGCTGGCGCAAGGACTAGCAAGGAGGAGGATGACAAAAAGGAGGACATCTGCAAGTCTCAGGCTAAAAGGAGAAAAGTGGAGAGTTCCTCTGAGACCAAAGAGTCGGACAGGGAGGGGGCAGGTGGAGAAGCACAGCCTGCAGCTGCCCCTCAGAAAGAAGAACCTAAGCAGGCGGTGGAGCAAACTCCAATCCCGAAAAGGCCTCTCAGTCGCCAGAGCAGCCAGGAGTCCGCTCGCTCCTCCTCGTCTTCATCTGGGTGCTCTACATCAACACTCACCCGTCACGCTCACCACAAGAGGACTTACGAGAACAGACATCCTGCCAAGAAGAGGCGGATGGATGTCACATCAGAAACAGGGAAGGAGGAGAAAAATGAAGAGGGTGGAGTGAAGGAAGAGGAAAGCAGCAAAAAGGAGCTCACCACCGCTCGGAGAAGACGTTCCAGGTCTTCCTCTTCCTCCTCAGACTCTGACAACAGTGAGAGCAGGAAGGAGCACCGGTTGACTCGCTCGGGGAAGCACAGGCTACAAGATCAGGAGAGGGAAAAGGGCAACAGCCGGCAGGGAAAGAAACCTGCGCCCAGCGCTGACAGAAATGCGTCAAACAACGCCAACACATCCACAGGTGGAGAGTCTGGCAGTGATACATCTTCTGTTAGGGTCACCAGGAAGTCTGCAGGATCTCAGCCTTCACAGGACAGTAAAGCTCAGACAAACAGCACCCCCTCGTTGCCTCCTGAGCCCGAAGTTCTGGGGAAGAGGTGCTCGGCACTCAATGCGGCAGCCAAGCTGCTAGCAATGAAAGGCAGGGTGGATACCCCTGGCCACACCACTCGGAAAGACTCGGGAGCGAAGGCCACAGGGACTTCTCCTGCCTCCTCTTCTGACAAGAACCAAAAGCCTAAAAGCAAAAGTGTACAAGCCTCCTCTCAGACTAACTCTGTAAATCTTACTAATAATAAAAGCAGTGGCAGCAAACCCTCAACGCCCAATCAGACAAGCCGCCCTGCGCCCCGCTCCACCAGACAGTGCCCCGGTTCTCTGGTTCCACCCCTGGAAGTGGAGTACAGGAGGTCTAAAGCAGAGGAAAAGGAAAGGGGGAGTAGGAAGTCATCAGGGGGAAAGGATGGTGAGACAGAGGGGCAGTCTTCATCCCGGGGCCACAGTGCCTGCAGCAGCATGAGCAGTGACGGCGAGGGCGGGCGCAGCAGCAGAAGCCGCAGCAGCAGCAACAGCAGCCAACGTACCCATAGCATCAGCTCTCAGAACACCGAGCACAGAGAGTCCCGCGCTGCTTCCTCCGGCAGCGAGCGCGAGAGGGATCGCAGCTCAGAGAGCAGAGACAAAAGAGACCAGCAGGGCCAGCGCAGGGAGAGTCGGAAGGACAGGAGGTCTCAAAAGCAGGAGGTGACCAGCAGTTCAGGAACAGAAGGGACGCCGGACAGGGTGCTGCGTAGCGTCGCAGCGCTCGCGGCAGTGCAGGCCCGGTCACCGGCCGCGAGCACCCGCTCCTCTTCTGGTCAACATCGTCACAACAAGACATGATCAGAGTGCCAAAGGGAAAAAATGGAAGCGAGAGTGCCGTTGTAGAGCACGATACGAGAGCATGTCATGACCTCCAAGGTTGCTGCTTTGTGTGCACTCTTAATGAATGCAAGGGAACTGAGTGCTGCACAAGCCAGGGACCTCCCTGCCTCTTGGGCCCTCTCCCTTTCCAATTGGAGCTGGTCCTCTCACCAGCTCAACCATTGTCAGCTGGGGGAAGGCTCAGGGATGCCGGACTGAGAGTTAAAAAAAAGTGGCACCATCGTTGTGCGTCCGTGAACGGACAGAGATGGTACAGTGGGTAAAGTCACCACTGGGACTTGAGGGGGGCAAAGGTGCAAGAGGTTATAAAGGAAAGTTGTTAGTTCACCTTATGTACTGTAATCATTTAAGACTGGAACACTCAGATCTTATGTGTTAAGATGGGATTATACAGCACCCTCTGTCAGGGTCGTAAACGAAAAGTCATTTGTGTGACGTTAAAAACTTTCGAGTGACCAGTTGTATTGTACGTTGGAGGTTTTAGAGAGTTTGGTTTTGAAAATTTCGTCAGCTGTCCTGACTATTGTTTCTTTGTAGTCAGTTGATAAGTTATGCATATTTTATTATTTCTTCCAGGGTTTTGGGAAGAGACCAGATCTGTCAATGTGATCTTTGCTGCACTATGCTGGAGCTTGTCTTTGCTTGGGCCCCTTTGTTTGTCACGTCAGTTTCTGTTCATTGGATTCATTTTTAAATCCAGCCTTGCATTTCTCATTTGCACATCTGATATTGTGGCCCTCGGCTTTTGAGTACATTGTGGTGTAGTAATACGTTTTTACATCAACTGGTTCCTGGTTCCTCACGATGCATCTCTACAGTCTGAAAAACTGCATTAATTGAAGTTGAAAATTGTCTTGAACACGTGCTCGTCACCACGACCCGGAGCAGCAGAAGCTAAATTTCTTTTTCCTAATCCTCCCAAAGGCATTTATAGTTAACGCTCCACTTTGTCGTGTATTTATATTGAAAGGGCAAGTACATGTTATTGAAATTAAGAGTGCCTCTTTGGCCAAATGGGTTTGAACCTCAGATTGCCTTGTAAAGCACCTGAAGCAGGGATGTTGAGCTTCTCTCCTTACTTAAAAAAAGCCAAAACAACAACAAAAAGACAGAACCTGGAGAACATCAAGAGACGCACCCTGTGCATCAGTGCTACCAAATTAATGTTTTATTTTTCACCTATTTCTTCTTTTGTTTTGTCACCATCACGTCATTGCTCTTCGTTCATGTAAAAAAAACAATTACTTGGACAAAATATGTGAATAAAATTACTGGTACAGTTCCAGATGACTGTAAATTGTCGATTTACTTTTGGACTTGTCGGAGCTATTTTGAGCAGAGGTGATATTTGGGGGCGGGGCGGGGGGTAGTTTATGGTGATGGTCTTACTTTTGATTTGTCTCTCTTCATTTGTTGCATTCCTTTGATCCCTTGTAATTCCACATTGTTTTACTTGAAAAATTAAGACAATTACAGTTGAATAAAAAGACCAAAAATTAGTTGCCATTTTTCATTGTGTTGAAGATTTTGTTTAATTGTGGGTGAAATACAGGCTCGTGTCATCTTAGTAGGTAAAAAACAAAACAACTGATACTGAAACTCACAAAACACTTTTCAATTGTCTGTAACAGCTTCTGTGTGACTTTAACACTTTATCATACAAGACACAAACAGAAAACAGAACATGGCAGAATTTTATTTAAAAACAAATCTATATTAAAATAAATGTGATGCAAAATTCAACAGCTGTAATATTACACAGTAGTAAAGTCGCCGTCCCGTCCGTCAACCTTCTTCTTCTGCTGCCAAAGGAGACTCAAGTATGGAAGCCCATTTATGCCAGAAAAGAAAATTAGCCTCATGCTGAAAAAAAAAAAAAAAAAAAAATCCTGTAAATCATTATAATGAGAAATAGTCTCAAAATAAGTCTTAAAATAATGACTTTGTATCTCAAAATAATAAACTATTTAAATTTACATCTTACTAATCTGGAAATGACTAAATATGACCTTGATCCTCAACATGACGAGAAACGTTCTCAAAAATAATTTCTGAGTATACTGAGTCAGTATTTTGATAATGTTCCCGTTATTTTACAGTGCTGAGTCATTATTTCTAGAATACTAAGTCATTATACGGAGATACTAACTCATTCATTTGATATTTAGTCATTATGTTTGAGATATTAACTCGTTAATTAAAGATACTAAGTCATTATTTTGTGATACTAACGTGTTAACTTTGAGATCTTAAACATTTGATATTAAATCATTATTAAATTTCAAAAACTAAGTCATTGTTTTCAGAGTTTCTCATCGGAATAATTTACTGTATCAGGATTTGTTCATCACAACGCTAAGTTTGCACCTCATTGTTTGTGTACTGACGTAAAAATGTAAATGGGCTTCCATACGAGAGCAAAGACCAGACGACCTTCAACATAAACATGTTTGGTTTATTTTTCTTCACAGATTTGTCACATTGTGGAGCAAAGCAGCCACAGTTTGTTTCCTAACATGTGTTTCCTGGTTAGTTTACACTTCCCCACAGAACTGAAGTAAAATCACTAAAGTAGTAACATGGAGAACAAAAGGAGACTTTGGCCCAATGTGACAGACGAGTGAAGAAAGTCTTGTCAGAGTATATGCATCACACTCAGATGAAACACGGCTGTGTGAACTCAAACATAGAAACAAATACAAACTCACTCCCTTCTTCACAATGTTAGTGCACAACATCACATTCTCACGTGGACGTCATGCTGAAGGCACATTGTGGGGAAATAAAAACATGGTGGTTGCAGAACTGTTCTCGTAGCAGCAGCAGCTTACACAATGTCTGAATCATAAATACAAACTGATAATAGGAGAAATAAAAGTGGGCCTCGGGCCTTTTGCTGCAGTGTCGACACACCGTCAAATTAAAACACAAAGCAGGGGGCTGTTCTTCCACCAAAAAAACAATATCTGTATTTACACTTGTTACACGTCGGCAGTTTGACACAACTTTCAAGTTTTAAAAATCATCTCAATCATCATCGTTATGTACAATTATATTAGTCTATTTGCCTACTCTATTCAAACTGTTGTTTGTGCCTCGAATTCATCCAGAAACAACAAGGTCACGAGAATCAACGCACAGTTTCCTGAGTACAGTACGATCAGCTCCAGTCGGGGGTTCAATACTGCATTGTGCTTTGCTCAAGACCACTTATTTCCTCTTTGCTTTTTTTACGTAGGAGGGGAAAGGAGCGCTGACGTAACAGTTCACTAAATATCCTGGTGTGTGTGTCGCAGACCAGAATGTAACGGGGAGTTTCCACAAACCAGCAGCACGACCTCGTGAGTGGATGTGGAAACGCAGACGAGAGTGTTGCCGTGTGTGAGTTAAAAGCACATTTCTTCTTTAAAAAAACAAAAAACAAAACATAGGCCCGTGATGAGGACAGAAGGTTAGATATGGAAGACAAAGATAAAGACAAAGATCCTGTACGTCAATATAATGAGACACTTCCTCAAAGCAATGTTCTCATATCTCAAAATAATGGAAAATGTTCTCAAATTAATGACTCAGTCTGGCAAGAATAATAAATAATTATTAAAAAAACAAAAATAAACTTTATCAAACTAACAAGAAACTTTATCAAAATATTGTTTTCATATTTTAAAATAAGCCTGTCAAAATATTGAGAATGCGTCTCATTATTTTGCAACAAGTTTGTATTTTGAGAACGTTGCAAAGTGTTTGCAAAACTTTCAATAAATATCTAAAAAATAATGACTTACTATTCCAAAATAATAATAATAATAATGAGAAATGTTCTCAAATTACTGACTGATCTCAAAACGACTTACAGTAGTATGTCAAAATAAAAATAAACTTTATCAACTTAATGAGAAACTTTCTCTAAATATTGATTTCATGTCTCAAAATAGTCAAAATATTGTTTAAGTTTTCATTATTTTTGTTAAAATAAGTTTGTAACTTTAAATCAGTGTCTCCAGACCACGACTTCGTATCTCAAAATAATAAACTGTCAACAAATGAGTCCGTTTCTCACACGGATGAGAATTTTGTCAAAATACTGACTATTTCAAAATGATGAATTTTATTGAAATAATGATTTCGCAGAATAAAAAGAAACTTTCAAAGTCTTAATTTCATAAATCAAAACAGGCTGAAGTCAAAATATTGAGAAAGTTTCTCATGTTTGAGACGCGAAGTATTTTCATAATGCTGAAAATTATTTTGCAAAATTTACAGTCAGTGTCTCAAATAATGAGAAACTGTCGACACAGTGACTGAACTCTAAAAAGAAGTCATTATTTTGAGACACTTGGTCATTATTTTACAAAAGTCTGTCCTTATAACGACCTGCAGGATTCTGGCGTAAATGATCTTCCACAGTTTCAGAAACACAAAGATGAAATGTGGGAAGAAGAAAAAAAAAAAGCAGAGGGATGATAACTGATAAATTCACCCGAACGTCCTGTGGGCTGAAATTATTTACATAAAAGGTGATTTTTCATTTTTAAATGTGCTTCTGCTAAACCAGCCACCGACTCACACTGTTAGGTGCCGAAGGTGGTGACCAATGAGATGACTAGGATGAGGATGAGGATGGCCAAACAGATCGCTATCCAGATCTTTTTCTGCATTGGAAGAGACAAATTACAGATAAATTAATATACAAGCAACACTCATCAGGTGCAACCGCAAAGATTTTCTGTTTTCCAGTGAATCAAAGTGTGCGGTTCATGGTGTGTGTGACTCCACGTCGTACCTTTCGTGCTTTCTGCTGATACGTGACAGCTTTCTCTGTGTTCTCTTTTGCCTTCTCCACGTAGTTTGACGACTGTTTGATGTTGTTTTCAATGCGGTTCACCATCTCCCCCTGCACGAGGCACAAACATCACAGTCACACACTCTTCATTCCCCCAAATAGAAACCTTCATCAG